TTCAAGAAAGGCCGTGAACTCCTCTAAGCCATGCACTCGATACGTCATGCATCAACAGGCATGTCGAGTTGGATTGTTTGCACAAAAGTCTCAAGCAGAAATGGGCGTGACATGATTCAACCTGAAGGGAGTGAGACACACGGAAACGGTTCAACTGCACAGTGACTCAGACACGAGACTCCAATCACCTGGCTTCATCACGGTCAGTCACAATACCATGCTGTATTCCCCTCTCCCATGGCTGTCCGGCCATCTTTTTGTCTGTGAACTCCAGATGCTATTTGTTTTGGCCCTCTCATTGTCTGATTACGAGCTAAGTCTCCAGTCTCGAAAATACATGCAATATAATTCTATTTCCCGAAGAAGGTATTGAACTTCCACATATATATTTCTATGCCGAAAGATTCGGGGTCCAGATATGTTATCACTTTTAGCGTCTTTCTTATCTTTGGGAGATGATGGACGTGATATATATTCATATACAATTGAAATATTGGCATCCCAAACGATGTATTTATCGAGCTATAAAGTCCTTTGGGAAAGAGGAATGTTTATTAGGTTAGTTTTCGAAACTGGCTCCCCAGCTCGTCTTCAGACGTGTGAGATATGTACGAAAAACAGTTAACTTAAACCGATGAGTAACACAGGATTATATAGTCTGTAAGTGTGTGAGTAGATAATCATCATCCGCATTTGGTTATGCAGGCAATGGGAGTAATTGTCACTTGTGTTCGATTATGCGGGCCGGGGGGAATAGTTGTCATACGTATTTGATCATGTGGTAGGCGCTGACTGCTTTTGCTTTCATCTTATCTTCAGTTATTTGTAATTCACATTAAAATCAATATGTCTGTTAATGCATGCCTCATCTGAGTACATATACATGGGAATGGAGAGCAGACGCAAATAGTGGCTCAGTTTTAAATGCCCGCGACGCATTTAAAAAATGGACCATTTAAATATTTCTGGCAGCAGGCGACACTTACTTATTCCTCCTCCCCCCATGTTACCCCCCCCTCCCCATCCAACAACCAGTTAGTCGTCCTCTGCCATACCAAACTCTTTGGATTCTGCCTCCTACATCTGCTGACGGTAAATCTCTGTGCGTGGTTGGACGCCTCCCTGGAGAAGGTAACCAGTAGTCTGACGGGCCACGGGGTCGGGGAGGAGAACCAGGGCTGGGTGATATTCCCCCTCACCGGCTACCTCCTGCCCTCAGTCTCCGAGTTCTGCGCCATAAATGCTGCCGTCTTCTTTGAGCTCCTCCAGCGTGTTGGAAAGAAAAGCCTAATTCACGTGGACAAACACGTGAGTTTTCACTTTGATGCGGCAAAAACACAGCGTGGTCCATTTCAGCCAGTCTTAACAGCTTTAAGCAAACTTGTGCTGGAAGGAGAATTTGAGCTAGTACTATTATATTTGTACATTTTTTTGCCGCAGTGTCATTGAAAGCAACCAGTCAGTTTGCCCTGACCCTCGTAGAAGTAACTCGAGTGCAGAAAGGAGTTCACTTTCAACTAATCTGAGTGAATAGCGCCTTTCTGCAGAAACAATTATACTTGTTCAGTCTTCAGTCGACAAATTCTTGAAGAAATCACAGACAAAATTAACATTAAAAATTAACAATAAGTGAATGCTTCTATGTCGGAAACGGATATTTTTGCCTCGCCGCCTGAACAGCGTTGTAGACCACTCTGAATACAGGAATAATCATACTGGGAACCTCGTGGCTAGAAAGCGAGGTGATACTTAATATATAAAAGGAAAAAAGTCTATTGGTGCGTACAGATATTCCCTATCATTTGCAAATATTCTGTAAGCAACCGCGAAAGGGTCCATTGTCCAAGGAGTATGCCAACTTTGTATATATTAAAATTGGTGCCACTACGCAATTTAGAAATGAAAAGGGCAGAACATTGACATTTTAACATTTTCAATGCTCTTGGAAAGGAAAAAAAATAATTTGTAGAAAACATGAATAAAAATAATTTCTCCG